ATTATAAGTTATGTAAAAGAGGATTATTTCATATCTGTAAGCTGCAACCTACTAGAAGAAATGAACAACTGTATGTACCAAAAAAATGTATAATGTGATTATGACTTCAGATGGGTATGACTGTTGATTTGTATGAATTAATTTGTATCTGGGGGCGTTTACATCTCATGACAAGTTGCGAAATTTGATTACAGGTACTAGCAACCTCAGTCAATGCTTGAAGTATGGATGACTGTTACTCAGCAATATCTAACATTAATATTTTCCTATGAATGTCAAACTAAATTTGACTTGCTTGTGAGCATGAGTCTATTAGGAATTTTCAGTAGTTATCAATTTTATGAATGTTCAAGTTTACATTGATTGAGGCAGAATTAAAAAAAAAAAAAAATGTAGTAAATATAGGAAGTCTTTGGAATTGGATCCATAGACAAATTATTGTGATTACCATTGGATTTGAATGCTACAGGATAAAACAGCTGCACGGGTAATCCTTTTAAAGATATATGTGGCAAAGACAAGCCAAACCAGTCACTCGTCGCAAATCCTGTTTCAGAGAAAATGGCCAAAATATGCTGGAATGTCAAATTTTTATAAAATCTATTTTATTATACTAAACTAACCTTTACATATCTATACATCATTCTATGCTGTTATTTTTCCACATTTTTAATGTTAAAACAATACTTTTTAAGGATTTAATGATCATTTCTGCATGAGAAATGCCTGAAATCATAAACTTTGAAGGCTGACTTCTCATATATTGTTCTTTAAACAGCTCTATGTTTAAACGCTTGTAACTTCATAAGGAAATGTCCGATTTCAATGATTTTTTACCATTTTATAGCTATTATTTTACTCTCTAACATTGTATTAATAACTCAAAATCAATATTTACGACGAGTGACTGGTTTGGCTTGTCTTTGTCACATATGTTGCTTGGTTTTTCTTCCCAACAAATTGATTATAAATCACTGCCCACCTTTCCAAATTATAGCCTGGTTTGTTCTTGTTTTTGTTCACTGGTTGTTCAATTTTCCTTGTTAATTATATATTATTTTCTCACATTCGAAACGATTCTGATAAAATATCATGAAATAATATATTGAAATATTGAAAACTCGAGCGCATAATTTAATCAATTATTATTAATTCGTTAAAAAGCAAAATGTATACATCAATAGAAACAAATTTTGCACAAGATCGAAATTTACTGTATTCACTGCCCAGTGGCAGTTTCAATAAACCAGAAACATAGCAATGTAATTCAGTGTAGTGTTTGTTTACCGAGGCATAAATGACCTCATACTGCATCGTCCTGTAGTTCAAAAAGCCAAAATAATCATTATCATCATTAAATTTAAGCGTTGTAAAACAAATTATTGATTGACATACAGTATACAATTTCTTCATTTTAAACTCTATCAGGTATTTGAAACCCTGATAGATTAATTAAAAAACACTATTAATGTATAAGCTCGAAAAAGCTCAGTCTTTCAGAAATAGAATTGTGAAACAAGCCTACATGGGTGCAACGGCCAACTCTTGGGTTTCACCATTATTCTACAAATGTAAATTGGCCGTATCTGGACAAAACGTATCTTAACATCATTGTCATATTTATAATATTCTTTAACTAACCATCTATTTTCAAACATTTATCATCAAACTATGTCTAGATCGCACTACTGTATATTTTGCATATAAATAGGCCTACAGCCAATTTTCACGGTCCAAACACGCATTGATGTGGGGTCCTATCTAATTGCATATGCTTTGATTGTACATTTAATTGCAAACGTGACAAAACCACAAAATTAAATAGTCTGTGGAAAGCATACATTATGTCCAAAAAATTAGATTTTAACATATTTACATCTTATAGGCAACAAAATAGTCTATTTGCACTTACCCTAAAAACAAATGTGTTAGATACAGTATATGAATGTTGTAATACAAGCTATTGGCTTAACAATTAGATAACTCAACTATTCGCACTAATAATCTAAAGACCTATTTATACTTGCAACGATAACGATAAAAAGCTATTGTTCATTTAGAAAATAAAATCGGTAAGAAAAGTTTTCACACTAGCATGAGTCCATAACGATTTATCATGTATACAATCGATATATTTTCGTAAATCAAATCAAATGGCGTTTAATAATCATGGAAAATCGATAAAATCGTAGTAGTAACAATTATTTTATGCTTTCCCATGATTATGATGTCATTTGATTTGACTTGTGAAAATATTGTTTTATCGTATACACGTTATCGAATCGTGCTAGTGTGAAAACAACACCCGTTTTGAAGAATTTTTGCAGCATTTCGCCATCGCACAGTCCCCAAATATGTTTGTAATGAACAAACAATAGGTGGCTTCAGCGATGGGCGTCAAATGACCTAACTTGGGTGTTGGATATAAACAATCAACTGTACAGTGGTGTTTTACATGGAGATTGCTATTGCGGCCATCCCTTGTTTATTGCTGAAAAGATCATCATAATTTCCAGTAAGCTATACTAAATTGATTGGAAATTAAACTTGAGATTTTTGCCTTAATGGTTTTCTAATGCTGTAAGGATACTGGCTGCAAACATTGAGATTTTTCGACAAATGTTAGGCCTAGGCCCCTGCACATCTACAGCATTAGTTATGCATGATGGGCTTCTACCTGCGATCTACTCTGCGATGTTAGGGCTAGCTAAGGTTTATGAAGGATCACTTAAATTTCAAAGCATACAATCCTTTGAGAACGCTAGGATAAGTAAATAAAAGGCAGAACAATTGTACTGCCTTTCCTATCCATTTATTTCTTACCTTCACAGTGGGTGGTTGTTTGCGCAACCATACTATTGCACTATAATGTTTATTCATGTATACATACCCAAGTTAAGTCACATGACCAGCTGTAAACAAGCATCTATTACATAACATGAGAAAGATCACAAATTAATCAAGCAACAGATTTAACACTTACTAAAGTTGGCTGGGATTGTTGAACACAGCTCAAAAGCTTATCAACCTATTCTTATTAAATAATACAGATACAGTTGAACTTGCCAAAGTCGATTTCAAAATGCCAGTGAAATATTGTTCGACTTACAGATTACACAACAATTTAGCATGTAAAATAAGATTGACTTAAAAATTATTCAACTTGGTCGACTTAGGCAAGTTTAACTGTATATAGTAAAATAAATATAATTTGTCAATTACATGGGCAGACAGATATTAATGAAATTAAATTAAATTATTATCTCATAATAACGTTAGTTCGTAGTTTCCTAGCCGATAGTCGCGTATAATGAATTCTAGTTGCTGTTATCAGTTGACTGATACAGTCATAGCAGGGTCACCACTCACAATAAAAGGTAAGACTACAAATTAAAATACATATGATTATAGTAAATTCCAGATTAATCACGATATTATGAGAAAATACAGTACTTCAATAGAAAAAAATACAATACAGTAACTCTGAAAAAAGAGAGAGAGACATTTTGAAGATTCAAGGTTTATCTATTCGATCATTCTTAAGAATCATCTATCATCTATCTACATATATTTATAGTGTAAAAAGCAAACTTAAAACTGTCTTAAAATGAGGCAATTAAGAGAGGGGTGAGATTTTAGTGTACTTTGGTAGTGGTGTATATCGCAAAAACAGTCATGCTGTAATTCAATATCTATTGGCTAGGCTAAAACTACTGCTAGGTGCATCACATCGTCTGCAGAAACCCCAGTGATTTAGAAATAGGCTGTTTGTTTATTAAAGACAATATAAAACTAAATCATTAAGCAGTAAGTACAGTATACAAGATCTGTTGTTTCAATTACATTTATGTAGATTTTGCATTCATTTGCATTGAACATTATCCTTATAAATTCTTGTATTTTATTGTCAAAGTCAAAATTTAATTTTATCATCAATCATACACTAAGGTAACATTGAAAATTGTCTTGTACACAGTACAAAAATGTAAAAAACATGCATGATAACATAAAAAGATAAACAGGTATTGTTACAAATTCTTTATTAATTACAATGCAATAACATTAGAATATGAAATTGTATATATTTATTGATTTTAGAGGGGCAGAATACATCAAGTGCACCCCTTGACAACAAAACAAGTGAGGGCAACATATTATATTTTAATAATTAAATATTTTTATTGTTTTGTCACCTCGGTTTGCTACTGCAACTCTTCGTGGGTAATATGAAATGACTGATAATCCATGTGGAGTTTCAATTCCATCTTCTTGTTTATCAATTCTTTTAATGAAATTTCCATCACTACTGAACAGCTGTATTTTGTGGTCACTTGATATAATAATGTTGTCATCCTGATCAACTACTACTCCATGTGGTTCCATTACCTTCCCATTTTCATCACCTGCTTTGACAAGGACTTTCATGAACCGTCCCTCATTATCAAATAATTGTACTCTGTTGTTGTGAAAATCCAATATAATAATATTTCTTTGATTAGTAAGAGAAAAATCACTAACTCCTTTGATTTGGCCTTCTTGATCGCCATTAGTCCCTATGCTCCTGATCTTCTGTCCGCTGTCAATGTTGAATAGCAACACATTTGACCTAAGTCCTACATACACAATATTTGATGCCTCATCCACATGAATACCAAATGGTTTGTCCAATTCCACCTTATTAATGAATTTAATCACTTGGCTATTCATATTACATATTGTGATGCATTTGTTTCCCCTGTTATTGAATGCTATGTTACCATTTTTCATTTTGTACATATTGTAAACGTCCACATCTTCTGGTAGTGTAACAATACCAATACATTCTCCTGATTGCTTGTACTTCAGCATTTTATTTGTTTGACATGAAACTAGTAAGCAATCATCTTCACACTTAACTATATCTTTAACATAATATGTGTTTATTTTAATGGTATTTACTATTCCTTCCTTCTCTACATTGATTGTCACCGGTGACTGCTTAATTTGTTCACAATCAGCAGTCACATCTAGTTTGCAAATACCTGGACTTGTACATTTAACTGTCACAAAATAATCTCCATTGTCATCTTCATCAACTTGAGTGTTGGAGGTTTCTCCTGTAGGCTGTGTCCATATTGCCTTCAGTTGATTTGCCTGTATTTCACATTCATCTGTTTTTATTATTTTGACAACAATTGTTTGATCTTGGGTTACAGATTCCATTCCTTGTAACTGTAAACAGTCTGCTGCCCTCACAAATAGTGTAACATTTCCAATAATATTATTGCATTGTTGTAATGAAGCAATTTGAGGCTCATTTATTTGAAATTTAATTTGTGTGTTAGCACTTGGCTTTGTTTTTGGCAGTTTTCTTATTCTGTCATTCATTGCTGTAATTACTGTTTCACTTGATTGCAGGGCTGTTGCTTCATCACTCTTCAATAACTGATTAAGCAAACTATTTTTTTTATTTAAATCAGATATTGTTGTCTTCAATTCACTAATTTGTACATCAACTGCCTTCTTTTTCTCTTTATAGATTGTCTCTACCTCATTTTTCATTTTGTCTCCATTCTCCTTCATTTTCTTGACCATTACTTGCACATGATTATCAATATCTCTCAAACTTGTATCTTTACTTTTTTCTAAGTTCGTAGCATATTCAATAACAGCCTTTAACCCATCTTGCAATTGGTTTTCACATTTATAAGCAGCTTCCTCCAATTTTTTAGACGTTTCTTTAAATGATTGGAATGCTTTTGAAATATTAATTGGTTTGTGTTTTCCTTCCTGCTCCTTGTGATCCATAACTGTACAATTTATACAGATTGGAGTTTTACAATCCGTGCAGTAAAACTCGAAAATTTTGTTATGAACCGAACACAGCGGTGGATGTAATGC